TGCATTCTTTCCAAAAATCGGGATTTTTTTTAAAACGCCAAAAATTGGGACTGTACCGCCAGAAGCAGGATGTCTGGTCTCTTAGTCTTGGGAGCATTCGGCCCCACTTCCAAGCGGGACTCATTTACTTCACTGCAATGGTTGACTCTTCGAATGCCCTCACTTTCGCATGCCACTAGGGTGCCCAAGAATGATCCCTTGTGTTGATAGCCTGGCACAAAGCATTGCTGTCCCTCCTGCCTAGTGTTGCTAGTTAGTAGATATGAATGCATTTCTCTCAATGCGGGTCACAGACCTGTTATCTATAATTTGCATACTAGGGGAAGGGAGCAAGAGTTAGAGTTGACAACCCACTCCACTTCCTGTTTATAAAGAAAAAAACCAGTATATCCTCAAGGGACCCTCTGAGATAAGGGATTTCAGTTTTATGCAGGGGACCAGAGGAAGCAGTTGTCAATGAAGGTGTTGAACTGGTAGGGCTTATCACTTAGACAACTTCTCAACCAGGCACCCTCGCGACACGACATGAACGTTATTTCCAGCTGGTACATTCTCACTCACTAGAACTAGTAATCCACTTCATTTACTCCCCTGCCAATTCCCTCTCCAAAGTGAATGAGGTTCCCTTTCCCTTGTATTCTGTCTGCGTTGCTTCGCTCAGTGTTCTTTATTGTCCTTCTCTGGGTTCTCGTCACCATGCAATGGCTACCCAGAACTCACAGATAAAATTCATGATTGAAGAGTTCATTAAGAAACGGGAAGTTGTAATGCCAGTGAGAAATGCTCGGGGTTGAGTTGTTTACACATTTTTAAAGTCTGCTAATAATTTTACCCAAAGTGGCATACCTCTCCATTGTAAGCCTCAACCCGAAGACATGTAGCTCAAGCTCCCTGAGTTCAGTGTGCAGAGGCACCCCACTGCAGTAAGCCTCAGCCCAAAGACACTCAGCTCCCCTTCTGTGGGCCAGCAAGCCCAGTTTGCCCAATGGAGTGCCTACAGTCACCTCAACCTACAATGCCAGCCTCCTGCCCAAGAGCACACAGCTTGACTCACGCATGGGTGGGGAAGCCCAACACTGCTCCTTGTTCTGGCTCTGCTGCTGCTCCTCTGACGGTGTAGCTATCTTCTGGATCCAGGCGGATCGCTGTGAAGGAGTCTCAGGTCCAAAGTAAGTGCTCCACTCCTGGCACTTGCTGGTAATGAGATCTGTCTCCCTACTTCTCAGAGGACTTGTTTTATACTCAGCTGGATGGCATTGCAGGGAATCCTCTGCACAATCGTTCACGGCAAATCCTATCAGCATCTTCCCCCACCTTTTACCAGACCCCTGCAGGGAAAGGTCATGTGTGGGAGTGAGAGGCTGGCTAGAAAAGCCACATTAAACAATTCCCTGCTCCTGCACTGTTTGGGGTGTCTGTGGTTCTTTGCTTTGAAAACAACGGATGCCCCTGTTTTGTTGATGCTTATCTGTCATGTGCTTACCTTTCTTATTGGGTATTCTACCTCTCTGGAGCAGGGCAACCCCCATACAGTATTCTTGACTTGCTTTCATTCTGAGTGAAGGCTGGGGGGTTGGGGGGTGGGGCAGGAGGCTGGATGGCCGATGAGAGAGCTTCGGTTTTCTTGACAGGAATAGATGGTTTGGAAACTTTACTTTGAGGGAGATGAGAGATGCCAATGGTTTGCCTTGCTTGAGGTTAACGACACCCCCAAGACTAAAAGTCAGGGGGCTAAGGAGGCCCATCTTTTTGGTTGCATCTGAAAAGAATTGATATCCGGTCTTATTGAACTATAAATGAAATGGGAGCGAGCTGTGGTGAAAATACCATGGACTTTCATTGTTCTCACCAAAATGTGGTGACTTTTTCACTCAATGTTTCATCCTGTTCTGGGTGCCCTTAGGACAATTTTCAGGGACTTTAGATAGCTGTTTTTGTTTGCTTTAAAACGAACCCTCATGAGTGAAATGGTTGTTTTCCTAGGGAGAGCTTGCTCCAGCTCTCACATCATCTTTTTGGAAGCCTGCATTTGCTCCCTGTCCCTGCAAATGTTTAGTTGAACACAGCCCAGTCCCTTGTGTGACGGGCTGTCTGTGGCATTTCATGTCGCAATGCAGAGTTGTGCAGTAATAGAGACTTAATAGCTTACCAGACTTAAAATATTGACTATTCAGTACTTTATAGAAAAGGTTTGCTAATTGAGCACATGATTTCTCTTTTCTGCTTATAAACTTTATATTACAAAACTACTGATACATAAAGAGGCAATGAAACAATGTGCAGTCAGAGTGTAGGGAAAATCACGGTCAATTCATTCATTCATTCATCACTGTTCTCTGTATTTTGTCTGTGATTTTGCCAGCTTTAAAATGTTTCATTTTGGTGGTATATTTCCTTGTCTAACTCACGGGACCATTTTAGACCTAATGTCTTATTTTCATAATATTTCTTAGCTTGTAATAACTTTACAATATTTTGTAATACATATTATTTTGCAATAGTCTTATTAAAGTGGGGCCCCTACATTATGTAAACTTCCTTCGTAAGTGAGTGACCAGTATGATGAAAGTTGTAACATCGCATCTCTTCCGTTCCAGTCCTTAGAATCTGGAATATAGGACTGGAAAGAGTCTCAGGACTGAATGATGCAGGACGCATCCAAAGAGGAGGACAGAGTATGCAGTGTCACTGCACCAAAAAGAGCTAGTCCACATTCAGCCTCTTCAGGAGGTAGCATGTGAGCAAGAGGCCATGCTGTTGAAGGAAGAGTATAAGCTGCACTGAAGGCAGTAGCCAAAAACAAGGCTCCAGGAGTTGAGGGAATACCAACTGAAATGTGTCAGCAAGCTGACGCAGCACTGGAAACGCTCACTCACCTACGTCAGGAAATTTGGAAGATCAACTGAGGGAAGAGATCCATATTTGTGTCCATTTCAAAGGTAACCCAAAAAATCCCCATATTATAGAACGAAATCATCGATATCACCTGCAAGTAAAATTCTTCAGAAGATGACTCAACATCAGTTGCAGCAGGACATTGACCGGGCGCTACCAGAGGTTCAGGCTCGATCCAGAAGAGGACTTGAAACAAGGGACGTCATTGCTGATGTAGATGGATCTTGGTTGAAAGCAGAGAAGACCAGAAAGATGTTGACTTGTGTTTTTGACTGGGTGGCTCATAAAAATTGTGAATAGCCTTGAGAAGAATGGGAATTCTACAACACTTAATTGTGCTCACGTGAAACTTGTACGTGGATCAAGAGGCCGCTGTCTGAACAGATGAAGGAATACTAGATGGTTTAAAGTCAGGAAAAGTGTGTGCCAGGATTGTATTCTCTCCCCATACTTATTCTATCTGTATACTGCTGGATTATATGAAGAAGAATGCGTTATCTGGATTGGAGGAAGGCTTATTAACAACTTAAGATATGCAGATGACACAATCTTACTGCAAGCGATGACTGGGAACACTTGCTGATGAAGATCAAGGATGGCAGCCTTCAGGGTAGATTCTAGCTCAATGTAAAGAAGGCCAGAGTCCTCACAAATAGACCACTGGGCAGCATCATGATCAATGGAGAAACAGTTGAAGTAGTCAAGGATTTCATCGTGCTTGGATCACCATCAATGCTTATGGAAGCTGCAGCCCAGAGCTCAAAGGGTGCATTGCATTGGGCAGATCTCCTGCACAACCTCTTTCAAGTGTTGAAAGGATGTTACTTTGAAGATGAGGGTGGCCTGACCGAAGCCATCGTATTTTCAGTTGCCTCATTTGCATGTGACAGTGGACATCGAATACGGAAGACCAAAGAACGATGAATGAATTGCGGTGCTAGAAATGAATATTAAAAGTACTGTGGTCTGCCCAAAGACCCATGCAATCTGTGTTGGAAGAAGTATAGCCAGAGTACTCCTTAGAGGTCAGGATGGTGAGATTTTTGCCTCACGCACATTGAACATGTTACAGGAGAGACCGATCCCTGGGGAAGCGGGCCCTCGTGCTTGTAAGGAAAAGGGGCATGGAAAAGAGGAAGGCCTTTGTCAAGATGGGTTGACATACCGGCTGCAGGAATGGGCCTCAACGTCAGAACGATTGTGAGGATGGCCCAGACCTGGGGTCCAGTCGGAACCAATGCGACGCGCCTAACACCAACGCATCGATCTGGTTATCCATTTACTGCATTCAGAATTGTTAGTCATGTCAGCATGCCCCTTCTTCTACTTACAGAATATTGCAATTGCTCTTTTTACTAAAATGAATAGATCTCAATACCTCTCTGAGATCCAAGGGTTCCGGTGCCACCTTTACCTTTCTGAATGCACCATGTGCGGGTACTACTGCTGGTGTGTCTTCTGGAGATGGACGGAGACATGCTGTGGCTGAGGGACTAGAGTTGGCTGAGCAAGTCACTGAAGGGTGGCAGGAAGTCAGCCTGGTGGTTGGAGAGGGCTGAGTAGGCCAGCACCCTGTGCCTCTTCCTGTCATGGGTTGTAGAAGGTCTCTCTTACCAACTGACCCTGAGCTTGGAGGGGCAGGCTATGGTCAGATACCCAAGACATCGCAAGCACTGGTGGCCCCTGACACCCTGGCCTCTGTCTTTCAGCACTGCTTTAAAGGACACTGCATCTGGCTGACACCTGACATCCTCAAGCGGGACGGAAACTGGGGTGCCTGGAGTCCATTTGGCTCCTGCTCACGCACCTGCGGCACAGGAGTGAAGTTCAGGACTCGCCAGTGTGACAACCCACAGTGAGTTGGCTCCAACATTCCCTTATCCTTCCACGTTAGGGGTTCTTGGAGGCCCTTGGCTAGCTGGCTGTATGCCGCACACTAGTCCCAGAGAGGGTGCCAGGGTAGGCAGCTCTGGCGACTCCTCATTCCACCTAGGAGAAAGTTCAGACTCAAAGGAGGAGGGTGCATGCCCCAGGCCACAAAGCCTACAGAACCAGGGGTGGCTCCTGGGACCTGGAGACCTAGTCTCCTGATCCACCAGCCTGCAGCCACTCCCTGCTGACACAACAGCCCGACTCTACACACTGCGTACTCTGCTCTTCACGGTCAAGGGTCTCAAAAATAGAAGAGGGGACAGAGCAGGCCACAACAGGAAGGGGAGGGCTCTCTTGGCCCTCAGGATGCTGACAGCAGGAGCAGGGGCTGCTATACCCAAATAGCTGTCTTTGATCAGAAGTGAGGCAGGATTGGCAAACATGCCTAGTTGCCCACGGGAGACATACTCTGTAGAGGCTGCCCCAGTGACTGCCAGCCTCCTCACCCTAAAAAATGCTCCCCCTCCTGGCTCCCTGCCCTGTCTCTTCCGGAGGCCTCTCGTTCTCCCCTCCTCCACTCAGTGGTGGGATTCAAAGAGTTAAACAACCGCTCCACTGCCCTAATGACCATTTTAAGTATAAAAACCAATACACCAAAAGGTAACGGTAGTTTATTATTTCATCCACTTAATACTTGAATAAGAACAATAAAGTACAAAAAGCTAGACTATAAACGTTTACATATTAATGAAAATAGTGCGTCATACCCGACCAAAATCAATAAACTTGTTATTGAAGATATTTCCCTATTGCTTCATGATTGACATTCTCACTTGTAATAGTCTTCACTTTTTCCCGAGCATCATCAGCTTTGTGATTTATCGTTAACCATCTTTTCACTGTAGGCGTAGCACCCCATGCTTTCAGAGGGAGGCCGGTTGGACCGTAGTCAGTATGTTTGATCTACGAGAAAGAGGCGACTCTCTTCTCTGAACGTGTTGTGTTCATCTTTGAAAAACTCTTCCACGTTTGCTGAACGTACAGCAGTTGGTCTAACAATATTTGTTAGCTTTTTGAACACTTTCAGAAGTTGCACAATTCATTCATAAGTCCTCGTGGGAATTTGGGATGTAACATGAAGCTGAAATGAGTGTCACCCTCCAGTCGTGTGGCACTTTTTCTCTTGACATTGTATGTTCGTTTCCTGAAGTAACACCTAAGGAAGTAAAAATGCATTTCATCAAGAGTATAGTGGGTTTTATGAAACAGATGAATAACGATTACAAGCGTAGTTCTGTGTAATCTTTTATGCGGGTGGTCGGAATGAACAGTACGACAGGTGCTTAGAACACGCTGTGGTGCAGCTGAATGCTAAAAAAAGAGTAAGGAATGTGGTTTGTGATTTCCACATTGGCGGCTGCTCTGCCACTCACTCACCTGAGAGAACCCTGATGACAAGTGCCATTTTAACAACCGGTTCACCCGACTCAGCAAAATATTAGGGATTGGTTCTGCCCAACCTTTGTGAACCAGCTAAATCCCACCACTGACCCCACCCTCTAAATATGCCCCCGCCAGGCATTTTCTGCGCCCATAGGCACTTCCATTCAGGACCTCACTGTGCCTCACCTGGACTGCCTCAGGGCCCCCTCCTGCCTCCACCCTCAAACTTGGGTTCAGCCTTGGCCTCATGGAGAGGAGGGGTGATAGAGCCAAGGACTGTCTCACTAGAGAGGACCTCTTGCCGTCCTGGCTGCAAACAGATTGAGACTTTTTCTCGGGATTCCAGTGCCAGCCAGCCCTGGGTTGGAGCCGAGGCTTAGGCTCTGCTGTCTGCCAGGTCTGGTCCAGGATGGCGGCTCCCTGGGCTTCCAGCTCCTCCCAGGGCTGTCCTGCCTGCCAGAGGCATCTTGCCCACCCAGAACTGGGGAGAGGGTGCTGTGTCTGCAGGGCAGGCCTTTGTGCATGGGTGCTGCTCTTGAAATGAAGAAGTCACAGAGCCGCCTTTCCCACACCCGGAGCTGAGGCGAGAAACCAGCATCGAGCCTGGCCTAGCCTGAATGCCCACAGGGCCCCGTGGTCACTCGTGGCTTTGGAGTTCCCACGGAGTCAGCGCGGCAGACCTGAGGATCAGCAGGCCTCCCCTGGCGCCTGCCACCCTGGGCTTTTGTTGTGGCCTGGTGGGGAAGGCAGAACAGGTGGGAGATTCGTCAGAGATCCGAAGCAGCTGTGAGCCATGCTCCCAGGGAGCCAGGGAGAGAGAGGTCAGTGCATCCCGTACCAAGATCTGGAGGCTTATAGCCTGGGGAGTCACAGGGCCCAATGACAAGGACAGGGCAGGGCTCGGTCCCTCTCTCAGAAGCCCTTCCCCAGCCCCCTGATACACAAAGGTCCCATAAATGCTGAGGGCTGGCTTCTGTCTCGTGGCACCAAATGCAAGGCCTCTGCTTTCTCTCCAGCCCAGCCAATGGGGGTCGCACCTGCTCAGGCCTTGGCTACAACTTCCAGCTCTGCAACCCCCAGGAATGCCCTGACTCCCAGGCCGACTTCCGAGAGGAGCAGTGCCGCCAGTGGGACCTGCACTTCCAGCATGGCGACGACGCCCAGCACCATTGGCTGCCCCACGAACACCGCGATGGTGAGCCCCTGGTGGGAGGCGGGGCAGGTGGGCAGACAGGCGAGGGGTGGCACCAGCATTCTTTGTCTCTGGGGTATAGGTGTGGACAATACCTGGCCTGACAGCAGAGCCAAACCTGGCCAGAGCTGGGGTCTGGACTCAGCCTAGGCTGGGGACCCAGAACTCTGAGGTTGGCTAACGATTCAGGGCTCAGCTCCCACAGCCACCATCTAGTGGTCCAGATCCCTGTTGCAGTTAGGCCGGCTCTGGAGAAGGGGGTGGAGTTGGAGCTGAATGCAGCTGGGCTGCCCCTTGACAAGAACCAGTTACTCCTGGGCTTCTATCCTTGACTCAGAACTCTTAATGACAATGTCAGAAAGCAAGACGCAAACAAGTGAAGCATTAGAAGGTATTTATTGGCTCATGGAAGTAGAAAGTCTGGGAGCTTCAGCAGGGCTGGATCCGGGGACTTGTGATCGCTCCAGAGCCTTGTTCTACTCTCTCAGATTTAGTTACTCAGTGATGGCATCTCTCCAACGTACAGGGACGGGAATCAGCTACTGGCACCTTAGAGCCTTTGAGTCCGGTGCTTTCAGATACAAGGGGACCCATAGCCACCTGCTGTGGCCCTCGTGGCCAGGAGCTGGGACACACGCTTCCCTGGAGCTTGAGGGCAGGGTTGGGCTGGAGTCTCAAGATCTGAAAGATCTTTTTTTTTTCTCCCAAAGAACAATTGGATGTGGATGCTCATCCACAGTCCGTATGTTCCTGGTTCCCAACATTCCATAGGGACAGATCGCATAGCACCCCTGCCCCAGAGGTTGCTGAGCCGACAGGGCAAGGGCGTCTGGGGTCCCATAGATATCAAGGAGCAGGGCCAGGGGTCTTCTTCAAAGTGACCATATGGGACAACACGCCTGGGCTTCTTTCTGCTCAACTGGCTGGTGGAGTGGTAGAGGCTATGGACTCTCAGAGGTGGGAGCCCCAGCAACTCCTGAAGGTACTGAGGGTGGGGAGGGAGTCTCACTGGGGCAGGAGAAAAGTCAAAGTGATACCAGTTCAAGTGCCTACTATCTTCCAGCCTTGGTTCTAAGTGCTTAGCACGTATTAACATTCAGGAACCTGAAGCGGTGCATAAGACGCACAGATAGGTTAACTATGTTCCCAAGGTGACCTCTGTTGGAGACACAGGGATACTCGTGCTCCTGGGGAGTCGCTGACTCAGCACGCACAGCTAGGAAACGTGTGCCTTCAATCTTGAGTGTGCTATTACTGAAATATTGTAAGTGGGTAGCTTGAGGAACAGAAATGTGTTTTCTCACTTCCAAAACAAAATCGAGTTCACTGTCATTAAATCACCTCTGACTCACAGCAGCCCTATGGGACAGGGCAGAACTGCCTCCGATTTTCTGAAACTGCGAGTCCCTATGGGAGTAGAAAGCCTCCTCTTTCCTCTAAGGAGTGGACGGTGGTTTCTAACTGCCGACCTTCTGGTTAGCAGTCCAACCAGTAACTCACTAGGCCACTAGGACTCCTTACTCTATAGTTCAAGAGGCTAGAGGTCCAAATCAGGGTCTTAGCCAGGTCATTGCCTTCCTTAGTCAGAGCTCTGGGTGTTCCTTGTTTCCTTGGCTTATAGATGATTCTCATGCCACGTGGCACCTCTTTCTGTGTGTATGCGCGTGCCTGTGTCTAATCTGCTCTTGTTATAACTCAGAAGTGATTACGTTTAGAACCCACCCTACTGAGTATGGTTTAATTAATAGAACACGTCCTGCATCAAACAGGACCCTGTTTGTAGGTATGTGGGCCAGGACTTCAAGACACAGTTAGGGATATTGGGGAGAGTGGCAATTAAACCCCTAATAGCCTCTATGTGTACAAGACCATACACTCACACCATCTCTGTGACTTTCTCTCTCAGCACACACATTCACAGCTACACGTTTACAGTGATCCTCTGATTCCCAGGCAACACCCAGGATTCACTTCAACCCATTCATTTTCTTTTTTTGTAACCTCTGTTTCCAGTGGTAAGAAATCTGACTCTCGGGGTCTACAAGGCAAGTGTTTATTTGTTCAGTTCCAGTAGACATATGGCGTGGTTTCGCAATCCTGAACCCATCTTCCCGTGAGGACTTCTTTTATGAACTAGGCCACATGTTATGCAGAGTTCTTTGTTTCGTTCGCCCAAAAGCCTTCAGTAAGATAATCTTCCAAGACTATGCTGGTTAGTTCTTTCCCCACCCCCTCCAGTGGGGTTACGTTAGGGAATTCATATGCGGATGTTTGTTTCCATTTGGAGTCTCCTTCCCCACCACTCGAGCCCTACTTCCTAAGACTAGTCTCAGAAACTCTATGGTCCTGCTCTGTTCTATAGATTTCTTATGAGTTCAAATTGATTCAACAGAATGGGTGCGAATTTTTCAGTTTCCCCCCATTCATGATGAAATGGTAGCTTCGGTTCCTCCCAGGGACTTGGGATATAGGGGGAGGCTGAGGAGGCATGAGCTTCCATTTTGCCCTCTCTTCAAGAAGCAGTAGTGAGCTTCAGCCCCTGCCCCAGACACCAGTGAAGGAGGTGGCGGATGGGCACAGCTGACAGTGAGGCCCTCTTGGTCGTTACCCAGGGACGCCACAACACATTACCAAAATGACAGAACCTTGTTCTCTTTTTTCTGGAGGCTAGAAGTCCAAAACAATCTGCTCGCCCAGTCTTGATCTTTCTAAACACTCTAGCAGAGGATCTTTCCTGATTCCTCCAGGTGCTGGGGTCCCCACTCCACTCTCTGCCTCCATCTTCACATGACCTTCATGCCTTCTGTCTCTGTGTATGCCTTCTCTTCTTATGAGTGCTCCCTGGGGTTGACAATGACTGATCATCCCACCTCTCGTAGGGCACCTCAGGGTGGGTTGGCATTACCAATCTTTCAGTCAGCAACTGCTTGAATCACCCAGGGACTTCCGTTTAGGGAAACCTCTTCCTCAACCCAATACCCCCAAGGTCACAGAACAAATACCAGAGCTGGCCCCTTTCTACTTCTCTTCCAACCCGGGGTTGGGGGCAGCCCTGGGAAGGGCAGGTGAATCATAAGTAGCCCCAGGGGGTCAACACTGTTGCTTCTCTCAGGCAGCCATGGAAAGCCCCCGGGGCTGGCACAGCCAGGCTCCTGCCCACACCTGCTGTTTCTCCCCAGCCAAGGAGCGCTGCCACCTACACTGCGAGTCCAAGGAGACTGGGGAGGTGGTGTCCATGAAGCGTATGGTGCATGATGGGACCCGCTGCTCCTACAAGGATGCCTTCAGCCTCTGCGTGCGTGGGGACTGCAAGGTGAGTGCAGCCTGTGAGGCACGGTGTTTCTGGATCCTGGCTCATCATGTCTCCCCCTCAGGGTGTTTGGGAAGCTTCACGGAGGTGGTAGAAACAGCACCTGGCACAGATTGGACTCTAAGCAAATGTGGAGTAACTCCTTCCTGACTCTGGGAGCCCTGCAACTTCCATGTGCTTAGGAGTCACCGGGGGTGTGGGTGGGGGCTGAGCTCTACACTACCCCAACCCTGTACTCTGCTGGGCCCTGGACTGGGTGCTTGAGGATTGAGATGCTCATCCAAAGACGGCCCAGATGGAGTGCATTGCTTGGCCCTCAGTAGAAACACCTTGCTGGGTTGTCCTTTATTATTGTCCTCGGCGTTTACCTTAGGTAGCCACAAGAAACAACTATGGGATAACCTCAGTACACAGTAGCATCTTGAGGACCTGCTTGCCCCTGGCAGACTCCCCTTGAAACAACTGGAAGCCCCTCCTAGGATGTACATAATGCAAACTGATGACTAGCGGCGAAAGCTGCCGAGTCTGACTGCTGAGGAATGGCAGTGTCTTCAGAGGGCTCTGGAGGAGCCTGGCCGAGCTCCGCAGGCCCTTAGCAGGAGCCCTGATGCAGTAGTGCTTAGAGGGTGGGCTGCTCATCGCAGGACCAGCACTTGGAAATGGCCAGCCACTTCTCAGGAGAAAGACGAAGCTTTCTGCTCCTGTAAAGAGTTCCAGTCTTGGAAATTCACAGAGGGTTGCTGTGAGTCAGCTTTGACTCAACGGCAGTGACTGTGGTTTGGGACTTTTGATATAGAGGCTGGAAGTGTGGGCGGCAGATGTGAGCAGCTGAGGGGTCGCTGCTGGGCTTCCCTCTACTCAGGTGCTCTCAGCAGGACCACAAGCAGCGCTGAAGGAGCTCCCCCACCAAATACCATGGCAATGGGTGATGGCCAGGACACATAGCTGGTTCAGAGCAAGGAGAACAAGTTACCACAAACTAGTGTCGGGGTAGCAAAGGACAGGCAGCAAGTACTGGGGAAAATAGAATTAAATGTTCTATGAGTATAATTATGTTTAGATGACAGCTGTGACTATAGTTGCAAACATAGGAAGCACAGACCAAAACCTTCCTTAGAGCAACTGTTTCAAAACTTCTCATGTTACTCAATTGTTTCCTCTGTCCAGATAGCCTCCTCCTTGATTTTACAATCTGTCGAATTTTGACTTAGTATGTCTTTGGTTACAAACTGTCTCCGGCCTCTTTTATGAAGAGCTCATGAATCAGTAAAGAACCCAAAATATGAGCTGATCCTCAGCCAAGTGCAGTGAGTTCCCCCGATCTGGCTACCACCGAGTCAGCTCAGAATCGAGAAGCATGCCTTCCCCTCACTGCTCTGTGCGCCCCGTGCGCATGCCCTGTGTGCCCCAGCCACTGAAGCTATCTCCAGTTTTCTCTGCAGGCAGACTGGCAGAGTTAGCTAGTGCAAGCCTGATCACTAAGCCCTCTTCTTGGTTAGAGATTGGAGTGGAGGCAATGTGGGGTACCAGCCCCCATAATCAGTCGGTCCAAGGGTTGGTTGTGTAAATGAGGGGTAACAATCAAAGAGACATCAGACAAGAAAAATCATGCAAGATCTAATCTCCAGGACTGCCTTGATTTCAGGAACCAGGTCCATGCAGAGAGAGAGTGAGAGAGAGAGTGAGAGAGAGAGAGAGAGAGAGAGAGAGAGAGAGAGAATATATTTCCAACCAAGGCTTATATGCACTCTAGGGGTGTGAAAGCCCCCCTAATTACAAGTAACCACATACATAACAAAGTGGGGGGTTGTACCCTTACCCTAAAGTGTCCTGAGTACATAGAAGGAGTAGCCTAACACCAGTGGCAGGGGCAGGTAAGGGGGAGTGGTTATCTTCAGAGCCTAGAGAGCAATAGCACGCATCAGCTCCTAAAATTAAAGCCGGCAGACTACATAGCAATCGGCCATGTACTTGTAAGAGGTAGCCTTAAGGTAGCACTATTATGGGAGGATATACTGGGGGACAATATTAATTATGAGAATGTGATTGGGACTCATCTCCAACTCACAAGGGTGAAGGCCTCCCTCCACCCCAGAAACCCAGCCTGCCAGGCTTCTTAATATATGCAAATAAAGGATTCATCCATATACACTCTCCACCGGCTCTCTATTTCCCACAGAGGCAGTCTTCCTGGCTTTCAGAAGAGTACAGAGAGTACCAGTTGACAAAGAAAAGGATTCCTCATCATCCTCTTCTTCCTCGTCCATCTCTTCCCCCTCCCCCCTTTCCTCCTCACCTCCTCCTCTTCCTTTCCCTACTTTTGAAGGGTGAGCTATGGGGCAGTGTCAGGGATGGACCTGGTCTTTGAGTTAATGCAGTAAAGGCAGAAAGCTCACAAGCAACCTGCTGAGCGGAGCCAGGCAAATTCAGGATGGGACCCGGCTCAGGCTGCACAGAGCCCTCTAGTGGCTACACCATCCTGAGGAGTGGACTGAGCACTACCAGGGAAAGTACCTATGGTCACAGGATTCTGTCTTGGTCTCCCCACCAGCCTCCTCACACTTCCTGAGAAGGAAGCACAGAGCAGGGGGTTTCAAGAGGGAACAGGTGCCGGAAGACCCTGTGCGATTCTCGGGTCCTGACAGGCTAGGACCAGAGTAAGGGTGGAGTCACAGCGTTTTTGTCTCCTCCCTCCTGCAGAAGGTGGGTTGTGATGGCGTGATTGGCTCCAGTAAGCAGGAGGACAAGTGTGGCGTGTGTGGAGGAGACAACAGCCACTGCAAAGTGGTCAAAGGGACGTTCACACGCGCACCCAAGAAGCACGGTGAGCCCCCTCCTTCAACTCTGTGCGCAGTGGTGGCCTCCTTCAGACTGCAGGTCCCTAACTGCTCCAGGCAAAGATTTAGGAGGGTGTGTGGAAGGAGAATCCTGTTAGGGACCATGAGAACCAGCCTCCAGGTCACAGGTATAGGGCAGAGCACTAGGTTATAAGGTACAGAGGTTCGGTCTTACATATCTGTCCCTTGCTCCCTGTCTCTGGTCCTGCCCCCCAGCTGGATGTCAGCAGGAATCCCCTGAGCTAATCAGTAAAGCGCCCAGACCAGTACATGTGTCCCCTCTGGGCCACAAGATGGGGCTGGCAAAGTTGAGTTCTCTGTAGAAGGAGTTTCTGGGAAAACAGCCCTCTTGAGAGCCTTCCCTGAAAGCGGCCTCTCCCTTGATGCTTGATGCTCGGGCTGAGGTCCCAGCAGCCAGCTGCGCCCATTTGGCCCTCCGGCTTTGGGTTCAGAGTCCAAACCATGGAACTTGAAATCAAGTGGTGGGGTTGCCCTTCTCCATGACCCTATGAGAGCCCCACCTCTTCCCTCAGAAGATGGCTAAGTCCAGACAGGCTCCTCATTTGCTGAGGGCTGCCCTCACAGTGAGATGCCCAGATAGCCATAGGAATCCTGGGTAGTTGAGGGGATGGATGTCTGGGATGTGTTTCTGAGGCTCTTCAGAACCGTTGGGGGTAGGGGGAAGCTTTGCCAGCTGGCCTGCAGCCCCAACAAACACCACAGCAGCTTGCTGTTGACTCCTTCCTGGTTTTTTTCAACCTCTGAAAATACCGGGACTACCAGGACCTCCAGGAAGGCCTTCCTTGCCTTACCTCTTCTTTTCTCATTTGCCTTTGTCTTTCCACACCCAAACAAAGGTTATATCAAGATGTTTGAGATACCAACAGGAGCCAGGCACCTGCTTATCCAGGAGATGGACACCACCAGCCACCAACTGGGTGAGTCTCCAAAGTCCGGACCTTTCTACCGATAATTGGACCATCTCTATGCCAGGACAACTTGGTATATCCAAGACCTGTCTCTTCTAGAGGTGGGCAGAAGGCCCAGGGGTCCGCCCCACCTCCACCTTTCCTTCACGGTGCCCCCATGCTGCACCTGTCTAGGGTTATTGGCCACTGGAGACACCAGGGGTTGGAATCAGAGTGCTCTTCAACAGCGACTGTGGAGGGACATGTGCCCAGGCCACGTGTCCTTCCCCCACCCCATCAGCAGAACCAATGATTCCCTAGCCCATTTGTCTCAAGCTTCCCCAAACCCCATTAGAAGACCCCACTGAGGAAGGACACATACATGGGGAGCAGGGTCCTGGGGGTCCTTGAGTTCTCACCCCACAAGAGGGCATGGAGTACAGCCACCCGATGAACTCGGGAAGTGTATGGACTATTTTCAATACTTTAATTTCAAATTCAAGAGATTCCTCAAAAATTATGAATGCCTGGCATCTCTTAGAAACTCAAATGTTCCAACAACTCTAGATACCCCTCCCACCTGGTCTACCCTGTCCTCAGTCTTTTGATTGCCCAAGCAACCTCGGGACCCCTCACAGCGGCCTCACCTATCCACATGCTTCTCTCCCTGAAGGCATCCCTGCTCTACCACCAGGTTGGGCCTGAGGCTTAAGCCATATTGATGCAGGGACCACTTGGCGACCCTGAAAACAAATCCTCCCATTTGAGCCCAAATCTTCCAATTTGCCTTACATACTTTGGGCATGTTATCAGGAGAGACCAGTCCCTGGAGAAGGGCATCGTGCTTGGTAAAGTAGAGGGGGCAGCAAAGAAGAGGAAGGCTCACAACAAGATGGACTGGCAGTGGCTGCAACAATGGGCTCAAGCATAGGAACGGTCGTGAGACTATACAGGACTGGCCAGTGTTTCATTCGGTTGTACACAGGGTCTCTATGGTTTAGGTGCCAACTAAATGGCACCTAACAACAACAACATTACCAGTGCCTCTAGAGCGGGACCCCAAACCAAACTCACTGGCACTGAGCCAATGCCAACACCTAGCGATGCCCATGTGGGTTTCCAAGAGTGTAACTGTTTATGGGAGCAGAAAGCCCAGTCTCGCTCCCTCTGTGGACCAGGTGGATCAGAGCCCAATGCTTAACCACTCCTCCACCAGCAGTTCTTAAATGCCCTGTTTCAACACCCCCAGCAATGCCTGACAAATACAAGACCCCTTTCTCACGCGTACTTTTCTTTCTTATTTATTTTAAGCAGAACATTTGATCCCCCTAAATGTTAAACCAAGACCACTTGCCTTAAATAGAAAGTAAATGGAAAAATCAAATCCTAACACAAAGACACCTCTACCCACTGTTTCTGGCTCGAGGTCCTCCTTCTGAGGCCTGTGTGTTTCTGCTGAAAAGAGGGCAAGTGTGGTGGCTGTTGTCGATGCCATTGTGTCCTTCTGACCCAGAGACTCTGTACAAAGCTCCACCAAGCGCATGCGTCCTCACCTTTGTTCCCAGATTCGGGCCCCCTGTGGCGGTCACTGTGTCTGATCTTCCTCTTTTTCACTGACCCCTACTAAGCAGGACGTCTCTCTCCAGGGGCTGGCCCCTCCTGAGGACATGTCCGCCAGCCGTGTTTCTAAGGAGCGCTCTGATGTACTTCTTCCAAGACAGATTTGTTCATTCTCCTGGCAGTCAATGGCATATCGAACATTGTTTGCCAACACTATAATTCAAAGGCATCATTTCTTCTTATATTGTCCAACTCCTGCATACAGACGAAGAGATTACAAATGTTATGGCTGGGGTCAGCCCTCAAAGTGACATCCTTGCTCTTCAACACTTTATAGAGATCTTGTGCGGCAGACTTGCCTAATGCACTTTGTCATTTGATGTCTTGCCTGCTGCTTCCGTGAGCATTGATTACGGACACAAGCAACATGAAATCCTTGGCAACTTCGATCATGATGTGGTCTGTTGTTCCATCTGTACGGATTTGGGTTTGCTTTATATGGAGCTGTATTCCATACTGAAGGCTGCAGCATTTGAGCACAGTATTTGACACTGCGGCAAGTGCCTCAAGTCCTCCTCACTTTCAGCAAGCAAGGTTGTACCATTTACGCATGGAAGATTGTTAACAAACCGTTATCCAATCCGGATGCTGAATTCTTCTTCATATGGGGGCCGCTCCTCAGGTTAGTTGCTCACCAAACAGATTGGATAAACATGGTGGTAGTCTTCAACCCTGACACACATCTTTCTTGATTTTAAACCATGCAGTATTTTCATGTTCTATTCTGCCCATTTCTTGGTTCACAGGTAGGTTTCTCATGAGCACAATGATATATTCTGGAATTCCCATTCTACTCCATGTTATCCATGTTTTTTATGATCCCCTCAGTCTAATGTCTTTACATAGACAATGAAACATCTTTCTTGTATTCTCTACTTTCAGTCAAAATCCATGACATGTTAACAATTCTATTTCCCAGGCCTTATCCCTTTCTAAATCTGGCTTGAATTTCTGGCAGCTCCCCTTTGATGTATGGCTGCAACCATTTTTGTATTATTGTCAGCAAAAATCTACTTGCATGGTATATATATTAGTGAGGTTGTTAGTCAATTTCTGCATTCTGTTGGCTCACCTTTGTTTGGAATGAGCACAGATATGAATGTCTTCCTTTCAGTCTTCCAATAGCCTTGGCTTAAATTACTGAGTCCTTATAGTGCTTCATCAGTTTGTTGAAAAATTCCACCAATTTCTAGAGCTTTGTTTTTGGCCAAGATCTTCAGTGTAACTTGGACTTCTTCCTTCAACACAGGTGGTTCTCGATCACATCCTACCTTCCTGAGATGGTTGAACATCAAACCAATTCTTTTTGGCACAGCTCTTTTACTTCATAATTTCTTATATTTGCGTTAGCTACTCTACATTTCAGAATTTTTTTTGAACTATACTTGATCTTTTCCTTCTTTCCTGTCTTTTAAATGATGTTTCCCTCTCTTTGTGCATGATATCCTTGATGTCATCCTACAGCTTGTCAAATCTTCTGTCATTAGTGTTCACTGCACAAATCTGTTCTTGAGATGTTCTCTAAATTCAAGGTTGCAGTTTGGCTCACATGGACTTGTTCACTTTTCTTCAGCTTCAGCCTGAGCTTGAATAAAAGCAATTGATGGTCTCTTTCACCATTGGCCCTGGCCTCATTCTGACTGATAACATTGAACTTCTCCATCTTTTCTTACTACAGATGTAGTCCATTTGATTCCTGTGAATTTCATCTAGTGAGGTCAACTGATCCTTCTTCAAGGAGCCCTGGTGGTGTAGTAGATTATATATTGGGCTGCCAACTGCAAGGTCAGCAGTTTGAACCCCCAGCCACCTTATGGGAGAAAGATGAGGCTTTCTGCCTCCATAAAGATGCATAGCCTTGGAAACTCTATTAAGAAGTTCTACTCTGTCTTCTAGGGTGGTTATGAGTCACACTTGACTCAACTACAGTTGTTTTGTTTTAATTTGGAGATCCCTTTTTATCTGTTTCCACCTTTCTCATTCCAGTTACTAGTAGTTATCAATGCATCTTGGTTGCATATCTGATCCATTTCAGACTGCAGGTGTTGGTAAAATTTCTCACCTTTGACGGCAGTGCTTTTATTAACTGTCTTTCTTGTTGACATACAGATATTCTCCTATCACTGACAGCATTCTATTGCAGGATAGACCTTGCAATGTCCTTTTTGGCAAGGAATGCAACAGCGCTCCACTTTGATTCCTTTGATTGCCTCACATAGGTGGACCATAAGGTTATCTGATTCAAAATGGGCAATTTACTTCACTGATCCTTAGATATTGATCTTTATACATTCTATTTCATTTTTGACAACTTCCAATTTTCTTACATTCATATTTCATACAGTCTATGTTCATATTATAAGATCTCCTGTGGCTCAATTATCAGAAATGGACCACCTCTTCCTTCTTCCTAGTCTTTCTTAGTTTGGAAGCTTCACTGAACTCTGTCCACCACAGATGACCCTGCTCATATTTGAAACACCAGTGGCATAGCTTCCGGCATCACAGTAACGCACAAGCCAACACAGTGATACAAACTGGCAGCAAATGTTAGAGTGAAAGACCCACTGGCAGGGAGCTGAGCCTCTTTCTGTGAGGTGCACAGAGTCTCACAGGAGATATGCGAAAGGAATGAATGAGTTTCATACTCTGTGCCCCTGAGAATCACGAGTGCCACCAGGAGCCCAGATTCCATGCTACAGGAACAAAGGGTACGGGTTTCCTGGCCAGCCAGGCTCTTGGCTTCCAAACATTATTGTGGCTGCCCATTGACTGTGTGACTCCTCCCAGTCTGTCCAGCCCTTTCCAGTATGATCTGGGTGGAGCCACGCCTATGCAGCTGGACCATCCTCACTCCCATCCCTCATGTAACTTTCCCAGGACTCTTTGCCTTGGTGCTTAGCATATACCCTGCACCCCTTAAGAGATGCTTCTTTGGCAGCCTGTCTATGTCTAAGTGTCCATGAGTGGGCTTGTATAAGTCTGAACATCCATCGGGCCAGGCCTTCAGTCTGATAGGGGCAGCCTCCAGGAAGATCTAGGTCCAGGAGAGGGCAAGGCTCCAAATATAATTTAGACTCTCAGTGGGTGTAGATAGATCCCTGGCAGACAGAGGGAGGCACAGGTGGCGTTCAGGATGAGAGACAACTAGAGGTAAGGACCACTTCTCAGAATCCTCCTTGGGAATTTTGGGGACTCTGTGTACCTGCAGGTTCCTAACTGTTTGGGGCAAAATTATGGGAGTGTGTGTTGGGGGAATTCCTCAGTCAGGCACAGCCACAGCCAGTGGCTAGGTGGACAGGGAACAAGGAGATTGTTGATCAAAGCAGATAATGCTATGCCCTGATAACACAAAAGGCAGGTCTTAGAAATCTTGGAGATGTAGAAGGCCTCCCTGCCACTCCAAACCTGGATACCAGGTCTGCCAGCCCCTCCCAATCCCCCGCCAAGGGCCTGAATCCTGTCCTTGGATGACCAGGGAATGGGCGCCTTTTTCTTTCTCAGCCATTAAGAACCTGGAGACGGGAAAGTTCATTTTAAATGAACAGAATGATGTGGCTTCTACTTCCAAGTCCTTCATTGCCATGGGTGTGGAATGGGAGTACCGTGATGAGGACGGACGGAAGACGCTGCAGACCATGGGCCCCCTCCGGGGCACAATCACCGTCCTGGTGAGTCCACACTCGTGCCTGTCTTCCATCCCCATAGGCAAGGGCCCATCTTGGCTGGGGCAAAACTGGCTGCTGGGGCAAGGAGGAGGAGGGACTCTGAGGGACACTAAGCTTCCTTCCCTGTCCCTTCAGACCAAGTGGCCCTCTGGTCTACCCGTTGGACCAGGACCTCCACTTCAGAACAAAGAATGCATACGGGGCCATGTGTCTGGTCTGAGGTCTGCCATCAATCCCTGGTGAACAAATTCTGCCCCCTTAGGATTTCAGTCTCCTAATCCGAATGAGATCCACAGCTACTGTTTATCACATGCAGTCAGGCCTGCTATTGCTTTCCAACAGAGGGAGGCACAGGTGGCGTTCAGGATGAGAGACAACTAGCACAGATCACAATATATTTCCCCCTCAAACAGAACCAGACCCTGATTTCTGAGTCTTAGAAATGGTAGTGAAGGGGTTTGGGTAGAATTTCTGGTTATAGGGTCTTGGGAGTGGCTGGTTTGTCTAACCACTCTAAAAAAATTAATTTTCATTGCTTAAGTAATATATTTTATTCATAAAATGATAATAATAAAGCACTACAGATAAGGCTAAAGTCCCTTATAACAACCTCACCCCCTAAGAAAAGTCATTGTGAATGGGTTTGGTCATTACCAGTCCTCCGAATTCCATAAGTGAGCGGACACCTGAAGGTATGATTTGAGGTCAGATGTGCTTCCTCAACTCACCTCATCTGCAATGTCCCTTCTGCCTGCCCAAATGCTTTTGGTGACCTACCTATATATGTTGGGCGATGGCAGAGGCCCTCGGTGAGTGTACAAGCCACATCAAACGTATCCTCGGGCTCCTGTCTGAATGGACCAGTGCTGGTGCCTCTGGGGGAGTCCTGAGTGAGAGAGGGAAGCCGAAAGGCCACCTATGGAGCTCCCTTTTGCCTGTAAGCAAACACGTGGTGGGACAGCTTATCCTTCACCACGAGCAGTCCTTGGGAAGCTCAGAAAGTGGAGGCATGCTGTGGCAGGCACCGCCAGTTCCTTTGGGAGGAGGACCTGAGGCTGGGATTCCCAGTAATGGCTCTACACTGGTCACCAAAGTTGGGCAAAGAGGGGTGCCAACACTTACACCATCTGGGGGTGGGCTCAGGTCATCCCACAGGGCAACAACCGGATCTCACTGACCTACAAATACATGATCCATGAGGACTCACTCAACGTCGACAACAACAATGTCCTGGAAGAGGACTCCATGGACTATGAGTGGGCCCTGAAGAAGTGGTCACCCTGCTCCAAGCCCTGTGGTGGAGGTAAGTGTGCCTGGCATTGGGGTCCTTGACCAGGGGCCCTGAGAGTAACTGAAAAGAGGTGCAATAGACCCTCATAGAAAGGAGCTTGAAGCAAGATGGTGGTGGCATGATGCAAGGACAAGGAATTGATTAGCCTAGTGGTGTTCTGTGGGGTCAAGGCGTTTCCCAGGCCGATGGATGGCCCCACTTCATGTGGCCCAGGCAGTTGCCTCTGGACCTGTGCAAGAGGTCTGACCTATATAAACAAGGCCCAGCCTGGCCTACCAGGGGATAATGAGTAGGCAGGTAGAGCAAATGCTCAAGGTCAAAAGAAGGGCATGGAGACACTGAGGATATCAGCTTGGTGGGATGGGCATATTACAGCAAAGGGGCTGGTTGGTGGAGCTTAGCAGGGGGGACTTGATGGCTCTCTCCAAGCACTAGGGAGACAGAGACACGGAAAGCCTAATTCGGTGCTGAGAATAGGTGGGAGAGGCCAGTCAGCTTTGGGCAGTTGTGGGTAGGATTGCCGGTGGTAGTCAGCTTATGACCCACTGAGGTATGACAGAGCCCTTTGTTGTAAGGGATGTCCTGTGCATTTGAGGATGTTTAGCAGCATCTATGGTCTATACCCACTAGTTGCCAGTAGTACAACCAACTCCTGTGGCAAGCAAAAATGTCCCAGGTCCTGGTGCATGCCCTCTGGAGGGCCAACCAACTTGATGGCTGCTCTATACTATGGGCAAAGGTGTGGAGTGGACCCTGTTCATTTCACGCAACTCTTGGCCCACCCAGGTCACCTATACTTATTAAGATAAGGTGCCAAAAATAACCAAGAGATGAGAGTAGAAGAAGAGCCTCCTGCCTTGCCCAGGAAGCCATAGAAGGGGAAGAAGGTAGCCCTCTCCATTCTCAGCCTCGCGCTGTCAGCTGCAGATGGGACCAGCTAATGCTCAACTTCCTATCATCTTCAGGGAAGGGAGGAAAGCAGCAGCAGGGGTCCCAGGCTAAGAAACTAGCCCCTCCATGCACAGTTCAGGGGACCTGCTGCCCAATCAAATGCTCACACTCTTAACTTCAGGATCTCAGTTCACCAAGTACGGTTGCCGCCGGAGGCTGGATCACAAGATGGTGCACCGCAGCTACTGCGATGCTGTGGAGAAGCCCAGTGCCATCCGCCGTGCCTGCAACCCACAAGAGTGCTCCCAACCCATGTGAGTATGGACCTCCCCCACTGGCCCGGGGCCCCTTAGAGGAGCGGTTCAGAGCTACTAGGGGCGCCTGTGACGGGAGATGGGGGAACTGGAAGCCCTGAGCTGCTCAGAGCCAGCCACCCGAGGCATTTAAGGGGCACTTTCTCAGTCACAAGGAAGCTAGTGGTGCTATGTGTTAGACATTGGGCTGCAAACCACAGATTCAGCCGTTCTAATGCAAAGGCTGCTCCTCTGGAGACAGATGAGGTGTCTGCTCCTATAATATGTAGTCCTATGTAGTGTTACTGTGAGTTCAAATTGAGCTGACGGCCGTGAGTTTGGTTGGGGGTCTGGTTCTCATTCACCATGTTTGTAAGGAGTGTCCCAGCTCAGCTTTATTCACCAAAATCAGCAGCGTGAACCTTAGAAATGACAACGGATGGCAGGTTGTTGCCCAAGCAGCTCATGATGTGCCTGGTCTAGATTTTCATCCTGCACTCCGCAGGTAGGACTGTGCTTCTGAGCCTTGGTTCCTTGCATGGGGCTGAGAAGAGAAGGAAAAACAAACCACCCCCACCCCACTGTTCTTGAGTCCATTCTGATTCACAGCAGCCCTGTAAGGAATGGTCCATTTTGGTTACCGGGCCTTTAAGTTTTTACATAATCTTTCTTACTCTGAGTTGCTGGTGGGTTTGAACTGTTGATCTTGTGGGTAGCAGCTCAATGAATAGCCCATTATGCCACCAGAGCTCCTTGAGAGGGGAAGAGGGTTACTAAATAGACAGGTGGAGCTCCAGGAGATAGGGGGGCGCTGAGGGTGTTCTGTCCAGAAGGGCCTGGGACATCAGCAGAAAGTGAGTCCAAAGGACAGCTGGCATGAGGCCGGTCCAGAGGGCATATGCGCCATCTATAGGACCCGGGTCAACGAAGTCCTAGGCTCTTCTCAGCTCAGGGGTACAGTCTCCTCCACACCTGTGTAGGCTAGGAAAGGTGTGCCTCCAAAGAGAAGACCAACTTCTCCCTGGCCTGGAGTATGAACAGACTGGCCTCTGGGGGCTGACCATGCTGCTCTGCCCTGGCAGATGGGTGACGGGCGAGTGGGAGCCATGCAGCCAGAGCTGTGGACGGACAGGCATGCAGGCCCGCTCAGTGCGCTGCATCCAGCCACTCCACGACAACACCAACCGCTCGGTGCACACCAAGCACTGCAATGACGCTCGGCCCGAGGGCCGCCGGGCCTGCAACCGTGAGCTCTGCCCTGGCCGCTGGCGGGCTGGGCCCTGGTCCCAGGTAAGAGGCCCCAGACTCTTAGCCCCTGACCCCCACCAGGGTTTTGGTGAGACTTC